ATATACGTATATATATATATATATTTATGAGTCACTGAAGCTAATATATACAGTATATAGAAATATTTATAAATGTATATAGGTTCAGTGACTGGCATGAATCTTTTGCATGAATCTGTACAGATTTCTATAATAATTCTATAAAAATAACGATGAAACATGTTTAAAATAGTTTCAGATGAAAAACACCATGTCATACTTCATGACACTGCTGTCTCTTTATCACTTTACCGGGACAAAAACAACAGACGAGTTTCTCCGTCTCCATATAACCAGGAGGAACGTGATATGTCTCCAGGTAAATTATTGAACAGTCTTCTCATTTCGACCATTCAACTTCCAAAGCACTCGGGTGATGGCGTTTCTGTGGAAGCTTGCAACCCGAGACCTGGTGTGTGTGGTGCGACCCGCCAAGCCATGTGGAGATCCTGACGCCCGTGGACGGATAATTGAGGCTTTATATGAAAAAATTGTCAGAAAGGAACTTGATCCCGAGCGTCCATGAGTCGAGTAATTTATTCATGCCGGCCACGCGCTCATTAAGCTTGAATGGAGGCGAGATGGAGTTCAGTTTCAGCACCATCACAAAAGCAGGCCTATCGTCTTTCAGGAGCTTGTCTACGTTTACCTAACACACACTGACCTGATCTGTTCCCTGTGCAGTTTCATGCATAACAGCACTGACCTCTCACTGTCAAAAAATATTGTTGGTTTAACCTAAAAAAGCAAGTTACCTGGTTGCCTTAAAAGTTTGAGTTCATTGGAATTAAAAATTTGAGTTGATACATCACTCTCAGAAAAAAAGGTACAAAAGCTGTCACTGGACAGTAGTACCCTTCAAAAGGGTTCTTAGATGTGTCATTTATGTACTAATATGTACACTTTTGGTACCAATATTTACCTTTGAGGGACTAATATGCTAACCTGACTCCGCCAGATGGATTTGCTCCGCATATCCATCTGGAAACCTTCCGTTGAAGTAGTTTTGGTAAGGGGCGAAAATACTGGTTAGCTGATTGGCCTATGTTGGTGATAGACGGGCCAAATCAACCAATCAGATCAACGAAGCATATGACGTACTAACAGAGCGTATCTTTTCCTCTGAGAAAAGCCTCCAGAGCAGTGTTTTGCTCTTCTTTCAGTGAAGAAATACTCTGTAATTCCGATAAAACTTGCTCGATAGCCACGCTGATGCTAGTTTCATCCGCTGAAGCCGACATGTTCTTTAGACTGAACTGACGCGCTTCTCGTTGCGTCACACCTCAACCCGCCTCAAAGCCAACGCTGATTGGACGTTCGTTTGGTGAACTGCTCCCAAATTTTCTTTAACGGAAAGTATCCAGACTGATCTGCGAGTGAAACCTTGAAAGCTCGCGAGATCAGGATGGTCTCACGAGGCTACTAATATGCACTCTTTAGGTACAAAGGTACCACCACAGTGACAGCTTTTGTACCTTTTTTTCTGAAAGTGAGTAAGATTGGTTTTAATTGAAACTCAAAATATTATTTTATTTGAACCACATTAATTATTTAAGTTGACTTGACAAAAGATAAAAAAATCAATACAGGTTCATAACCTGGTTCAATACAGGTTAAGCTCAATTGACAGCATATGTGGCATAAAGTTGATTACCACCAAAAATTGCACCAAATAAAAAGCAAAAATCAAAGTTTACATTGAGACACTTACAATGGAAGTAAAACGGGCCAATTTTGAGAATTCAAAAGCAGAAATTGATTCATAAAAGCACCTACATTTGTTCTTCTGATGAAAGATCTGCATTATTTGAGCTGTAAAGTTGGTCTCATCATTTTTCAGTTTTCATGGCAACAAAATTGTAAAATTGGGAATAACTCAACACAGAAATTGTATTTTACACTAAAATCATGTTAACACACATATCATTTATGTTTTGTGGCTTTATACTGTTGAAGTGGGCCCCATTCACTACAATTTTAAGCACCATTAACAAAAAAGGAGGACAGTTTCAATTATTATTATTTCTATTATTACCTAACTCAACCCGAGCTGCTGAGTTTGAAACAGCTGAAGACGCATCTTTTTCAGCAACACTTGATCCGTTAATGCTAACACTTTCTTTTATTTTTTTTTCTGTTCTAAATCTATTTAAAAAAATTAAAAGAATTACATATACTGCATTAGACTAAACTTATTGTTGTCCTATTGTTAGTTTAATTGCTTTTATTGCTCTCCTCATTTGGATAAAAGCGTCTGCTAAATGATTAAATGTAAATGTTGTGATAATTAACATTATAGCACAAGTGCTGCTGATATTGAACCCAGAATATTCCTGTAAGTTAATGGTCTTATTGGTTCTTCTTCTCTTCAAGTTGTGACTTACACTGAGGGAATAGTGTATTATACAGAGATTTTGGAGAGCCATCAACACAATCCACCTGTCAAACACACTCACTCACTCACACACACACTCACACACACACACAAACACACATTTATGGTCTTCAGAGGTCATTGGTTCTGCCGAACAGCTGAATGGCTTTGAAACACACACACACACACAGCAGCAAACTTAGGTTTGAAAACTCTTCTATGCTTTTATTTGGGTAAAGTCAGATGAAATCTAGTTTGCGGCGCTGGATGTATTTTAGTGTTTGACTCTCGTGACGCTCATTTTCACACAGTGTCATAAAAGCGCTGTCTGACGAGTCCATTTGAACGTGCAAAATGACTACTTTGATAAAGGGGCGTTTAAATGTAACAGGTGGAACTGTCGAAATGTCAGAGCAGTCTGACAAATCACTGGCAGCTGTAACAGCACACACACACACCTCTCTCTCTCTCTCTCTCTCTCTCTCTCTCTCTCTCTCTCTCTCTCTCTCACACACACACACACACACACACACACACACACACACACACACACACACCTCTCTCTCTCTCTCTCTCTCTCTCTCTCTCTCACATACACACACACACCTCTCTCTCTTACACACACTCCTCTCTCTCTCTCTCTCTCTCTCTCTCTCTCTCTCTCTCTCTCTCTCTCACACACACACACACACACACACACACACACACACACACACACACACACACACACTCACCTCTCTCTCACACACACTCGCACACACACACACACACACACACACACACACACACACACACACACACACACACACACACACACACACACACACACACACACACACACGCACACACACACACGCTCACCTCAGCACACACACACCTCTCTCACACCTCTCTCTCTCTTACACACACACACACACACACACACACACGCTCACCTCAGCACACACACACCTCTCTCACAACCGCTCTCTCTTACACACACACACACACACACACATTCTCTCACACACACACACACACACACACACACACACACATGCTCACACACACACATGCTCACACACACACACACACACACACACACTCGACCCGGCAGTGTGAGCTCATCCCGACAGACCAACAACAGGAGAACCGGACCCACGCTCACACACACACATGCTCACACACACACACATGCTCACACACACACACACACATGCTCACACACACACACACACACACACACACACACACACACTAACAGGCGCACACATCTTTGTAGGGACTCTCCATAGGCGTAATGGTTTTTTATACTGTACAAACTGTATATTCTGTCCCTACACTGCCCCTATCCCTAAACCTACCCATCACACACACACACTGCCCCTATCCCTAAACCTACCCATCACACAAAACTTTCTGCATTTTTACATTTTCAAAAAACATTACTTAGTATGATTTATACGCTGTTTTCCTCATGGGGGACCGCTGGCTGGGCCCCACAATGTAGGTGATTTCAGGTTTTACTATAGGCTACTTGTGGGGTCATTTGGTCCCCACAATGTAATATAAACATGAACACACACACACACACACACACACACACTCAAGAGATGACAACACGTTTTTAAAGGTATCTAGTTTTATATAATTAGCTAATTGCAGGAGTCCTATAGTTACACCATAATCATTACCAAGAGTGAGAGACTAACATGCACGGGAACATCAGAGAGTCACCTCAGACTCCTCTGTTCACACAGAGAACTATTCCGTTTCTCTGACTAAATATGCCGGCTAGCGCCATCTTGTGGACGGCCTTTTCCCTTCAGTGCAGGTATGCAATTACAAGTGTTTAAAAGAATATTTTGATTATAGAAGATTATTCTAATATCTGACTGCATATAAAAATAGTTTCGATAAACTGTACATTTAAAAAAAAAGAAATTAATATTTTCATTCAGCAAGGATGCATTAAATTATTCAAAAGTGACAGTAAATACATTTATAATGTTACAATTTTTTGTTATTTTAAATAAATGCTGTTCTTTTGAACTTTCTATTCATCATAGAATCATGAAAAGTATTTTCCCACAAAAATATGAACTGTTTTAAACATTGCTAATAATCATAAATGTTTCTTGATCATTAAATCATCATATTAGAGTGATTTCTGAAGGATCATGTGACACTGAAGACTGGAGTAATGATGCTGAAAATTCAGCTTTGATCGCAGAAATAAATTACACTTCACTATATATTCACATAGAAAACATTGTAATAATATTTCACTGTTTTTACTGTATTTTTGGTTAAACAAATGCAGCCTTGGTGAGCAGAAGACAAATCTTACCAACCCTGAACTACAGAATATAGTTGTAAATACTACAAGAATAATATTCTTAAGATTCAAAATTCAGTATCTCATTGGCAACTCACTCATACACATATTATACATCATACCCAATTCTTAACATTATCAACCTGCTTATACTAATTAGGCACATATTTCCATTTCTATATAATAATGTGAAACCCAAGGTCAGAATGTGATCTGAGCCATACCCTGTGATAAAATTTAACTTTTTAAAATAATTAATCATTTATAATTAATGACAATGACATGTAGAAAGTGCGTGTGCAACTTAAGAAAGTCCATCAGGAATCATCCCTAGAAAGCCTGGTCTCTGTCCTCGGCCTGCTGGAAGCTGGAGTCGTGCTCCAGTTCTGGCGAAGCAGGAGGTCTTCGCTCCTCACACTCGGGTCGTTCGGTTCTGCTCGGGACTGGAAGCTGTTCAGTGGGATCGAGGTCTGCCGTCACATGGGCGGCGACACGCGGTCGGGCGGATCTAATCCTCATCCTGCGTTTCAGGTCCTCCTCTCTCTCCTAAAAACACATGCTGTTCTTTAACAAATCTCTAAGAAACCAAATATAATAAAGATGCAAGATCTCGTCTTCCCGTCTGGTGTTTAAGTGCTCTTGTTTTGACATGCATTTCTGTTCTCATTGTTCCTGTGTTTGCCTTGTTCCCATAGTTATCCTTGTTTGTTTACACAGTTGCCATAGCAACTCATTACCCACACCTGTTCCTGGTTTCAGCCCAGTGTTTCCTCTGGTCCTTGTCTGGATGTTACGTGTGCACGTGTTTTCAGTTTTACCTCTCTCTCTCTCTCTCTCTCTCCTCTCTCTCTCTCTCTCTCTCTCTCTCTCTCTCTCTCTCTCTCTCTCTCTCTCTCTCTCTCTCTCTCACTTCCGGTGCGATTGGTGAGTGAGTGTGTGCGGAGCGGTGTGAGCGTGGTGCAGACTGATGTGAGTGAAGTTTTCTTTTTTCTCTCTCTTCTTTTTCTGCTTATTTTTCTTTATTTTATTAGTTTTGTTGTTTTTGTTTTTGTTTTTGATGGTTGGTTGTTATTAGGTTTTTGTTAGTCTAGTTTGAGGGCCGTGTGTGATCCGTTTTTTGGAGGCATGTCGGCCCGTCAAACGCAGGGTTTGAGTTCACTCACGAGACGCCATGCGATTAAGGTGGCGTCGGCGGTGAGCGTTGAAGAATGTTGCTTGGCCATTGGGGAAGTGGTGGGTCACGCGAGCGTTTTGTCCGCTTCCCGAATGAACAATGCAACAGTGGTTTTTCTGGATAGTGTGGACAAAGCAAATGAGTTGGTTGAACGAGGAATTGTCATTGATGGTGAATTCATTTCAATTCTCCCTCTTTCCTTACCAGCGAAAAAGGTTATATTATCTAATGTGCCACCTTTTGTCAGTGATGGTTTTCTAACGGAGGCTTTGACACGTTACGGAAAGTTGGTGTCTGCAATAAAAAAGATTCCGATTAGTAGCGACTCGCCTTTATTGAAACATATTGTTTCTTTTAGGCGGTTTGTGTACATGGTTATTCCGGACGATGCAGATTTAGATCTTACACTGAATTTTCGAAGTGACGATTTTAACTATGCTATTTACGTCACGACTGGAAAAGTCAAATGCTTTGGATGTGGTAATACAGGGCATTTAATTCGGAATTGTCCCAACAAAAATACTGAGGGAGAAAAAGGGGGAAAAAATGGAACAGTTGAACTTGAAGAAAAGGATGGAAAGGAGTCTGAGGCGGAAGCGCAGGTAATAGGCTTGGCTTTGGAAAATAATAATGTTGTAGATCGCACGTTAGAATTTGAGGCTGAACCAGTTCCTTCTCAGATTGAGCAAGGGAATAGTAATCCTAATGTTCTACCTACTACAGTAAATGATTCAAGCGTCTTAGACACGGTGGCTTCCTCTTCAGAAGGTAAAGAGGAAGGTGCAAATGATGATGAGATTAGGGTAGCTTGTGAAGGTGCACAGTTACTTTCGGAACAAGAGCAATTTTTTTTCAAGACTCCCCAAAAAAGAAAAATGGAAAATAAGTTGTTAGACGCTAAAGTAAGTAAGACCGTTGGTCTACAAAATGAGGAAATGCAAGATACGGAAAGTGACAGTGACTCGTCAGAATGCAGTATGAGTTTTTCACAAGGTGAAACTAACGTTACTGATCGAAGTTATGGTCTTGAGGACATAAAATTGTTCCTCAGGGCAACAAAAAATAAAAGGGGTGTAAAAATAAAAGAATTTTTTCCTGACTTGAAACAATTTGCTGATCAAGCAAAAAGTGGGATGGCTAGTGATTCCTTTACCAACAAAGAAGTATATAGGTTGAAGAAAATTGTGAGAAACATAAACAGCACCCTTGAAAATGATGCGGTTTAAGATGAAGAAAAATAATTTCTTTTTTTGTGGTAAATTGAGGTTGTTCTTTTTCTTTTTCTTCATTATGAGTGAAGTACATATTGCGTCTATGAATGTTAATGGGGCAAGGAATCCTAAAAAAAGAGCACAGATTTTTGAAGAAATGGTACAGAAAAACATAGATATAGCTTTTTTACAAGAAACTCATAGTAGTATAGATAATGTGGTTGACTGGATGAAGGAATTTAATGGTATATCTGTATTAAGTCATTATTCAAATGTGAGTGGTGGAGTTGCTATTCTATTTAGTAAAAATTTTAAACCGATCTCGTATGATGTAGATGAAATTATGAAAGGTAGATTGTTAAAAGTCAGAGCTATTTATGAAACTTTTGTATTTGTTTTTATTTGTGTTTATACTCCAACAGCACCTATAGAAAGGTTACTGTTTTTAGATACTCTTTGTTCAACGCTTGAAAACTGCTGTACTGAAGATTTTCTATTTGTGGGTGGTGATTTTAATTGCACTGAACTTGATATAGACCGTAATCATGTTGAACCTCATATGGCTTCGCGCAAACGTTTAATTCATTTGATTGAGAAATTTGATTTATGTGACATTTGGAGAACTATGAATGATAATGAAAAGCAATATACATGGGCTCATGTACGCGATAATCATATATCATTGGCTAGGTTAGATAGATTTTATATTTTTAAACATCATTTGAATGTGTTTAACAAATGTTTTATCACACCTTTGTCTTTTACTGATCATCAAATGGTCAGTTGTAAATTTATTTTAAATTCAGTGAAATCTAAGAGTGCATATTGGCATTTTAATACAAGTCTTTTAAATGATAAATTATTTACTGAATCATTTAAATTTTTTTGGAAGGTTTTTAAAGAAGATAAATCTTCTTTTAAATCTATACAACAATGGTGGGATTATGGCAAGGTGCAAATAAAACAATTCACACAACAATATACTCAAAATGTCACAAAAGAATTGAATCGTTCTTTAATAATGCTTGAAAAAGATTTGATGGATTTACAAAAGTTGTCTCAGACCTCAAGTGATAGTAATTTTATGGAAACCTTTTTAAAGAAAAAAACTGAACTTAAAGAGCTATTAGAACATAAAGCACAAGGAGCATTAGTTCGTGCTCATTTTCTAAATATTGATCAAATGGATGCGCCTTCCAAATATTTCTTTGGTCATGAAAAAAAAAATGGGCAGAAACGTTTAATTCATGCTCTGCGTTCTGAGGATGGTATTTTGTTATCCAATCCCAGACAGATGCGTGAGATAACAAGACAGTTCTATCAGTCCCTGTACAGAAGTGAACTTGAGCCGGAAAAGGAGGGAAAATGCCCTTTCTTGGAGGATCTACCTAAGATATCAGAAGAGTCCAATGAAGAACTGGAATGTGGCCTAACTCTGGGAGAGCTGTATAAAGCACTTCATGATATGGAGTCTGGGAAAGCTCCGGGAGTAGATGGGCTTCCAGTGGACTTCTTCAAAGCTTTCTGGTCGGAGTTGGGAGTTGACATGCTAGAGGTGTTCAATGACAGCTTGCTAAAGGGTCGGCTGCCTTTGAGCTGCCGAAGGGCAGTGGTCACTCTCCTTCCGAAAAAAGGAGATCTTACTGAAATCAAGAACTGGAGGCCGGTATCACTTCTGTGCAGTGATTATAAGTTACTGTCTAAAACTTTAGCTAATAGATTGACTAAAGTAATGGGACAGGTGATTCATCTAGATCAATCTTACTGTATACCAAACAGGTCAATCTTTGACAATATTTCTTTAATTAGAGATATTATACAGGTTTCCAAATTATTTAATATCAATTGTGGTTTGTTGTCTTTAGACCAAGAGAAAGCTTTCGACCGGGTTGAGCATGCTTATTTATGGGACGTTTTAAAGGCTTTTGGTTTTAATGAGAAGTTTTCAAACATGATTAAAATTCTTTATGGTGACATTGAGAGTGTAATTAAGTTTAATGGTGGCTTATGTGCTCCATTCGAGGTCAGTAGAGGTATTAGACAAGGTTGTTCATTATCTGGAATGCTATATTCTCTTGCTATTGAACCACTTCTACAAACAATCAGGAAGAATTTAGATGGTTTAAGGGTACCATTGTGTGATGTTAAGTTCTGTATATCAGCTTATGCTGACGACCTAATAATAATGATTAATAAACAAAGTGATATTCATGTTTTATTTACATTGATTGAAGACTTTGGAAAATGGTCCTCAGCAAAAGTAAATTGGAAAAAAAGTGAGGCATTTCTACTGGGGGACTGGAATGATAAGAAACCAATTCTTCCTGAAGGTCTGTGTTGGAATAGGTGGGGTTTGAAATATCTTGGAGTTTTTTTAGGAGATGATAATGTCATTCAAAAAAATTGGGATGGGTTATTACAAAAAGTGAAAGGTCGTCTAGACAAATGGAAGTGGATTCTACCCAACTTGTCTTATAGGGGAAGAACACTTATTGTAAATAATTTGGTTGCTTCACTTTTATGGCACAGATTGGTTTGTATTGATCCTCCATCAAAATTGATGGCTGAAATTCAAGCGGTTTTTGTTGATTTTTTTTGGGACAAGCTTCATTGGGTTCCGCAGAGTATTTTATTTTTGCCCAAAGAAGAGGGGGGCCAAGGATTGGTACATCTCCAGAGCAGGATTGCAGCTTTTCGGCTGCATTTTCTTCAAAGACTTCTTGATGGACCGATGAATGTCAGTTGGAGGGCGATCAGTGGTGTTTTATTAAGGACTGTTGGAAACCTTGGAATGGATAAATCTCTTTTTTTAATGGACCCGAAGTGCTTGGATCTTTCGAAATTGTCATCATTTTATCAGCAGCTTTTCAAGATCTGGAGTTTTTTTCATATTCAAAGGACTGAAAATTTTCATTCCATTTACTGGTTGCTTAATGAACCCTTGATTTGTAATGCAAGACTGGATCTGTCTGCATCCAATTTTTTACCAGGATTTAATAAGACTTTACAAAACTCAGGAATTTTTGTTTTAAAACATTTAATGGGTTTAACTGGACCTCATTTTAAGAATGTAGAAGCTGCCACTGTAAAATTGGGAATCAGATCTGTTCGTTCAGTAACTCGATTTGTGAATAAGTTAAAAGAATGCTTTACGGATGAAGAAACAATGATGTTAGAGGATTTCTTTTCAGGGACTTGTGTCACTGACAGTGAAGATCTTTTTCCTTGTTTGTTGATTCAACCAAATGTTGAAGAATATTCTGGGTGTTTCTTTCAACAAAATAGGTTCTCATCTGTTGATTTTTTCTCATGTGGGCGGAAAGAGTTGTATAGAATGTGTGTGCTCTTTCTCAACAAAAAGACACTTGATAAGAGAGTTGATACTCCTTGGCGTTCGGTCTTAAAAATAGGTGATGAGGTAAGACCCGAATGGAGAGTTTTGTACAAGCCACCATTATCGAAAAGAACAGGGGACTTGCAGTGGAGAATCCTGCATGGGGCAATTGCGGTGAATTCTTTTGTTTCAATTTTGGATTCAAAGAATGACTCAGGTTGCCCTTTTTGTTCTCAAAAAGAGACTGTGTTTCATGCATTTATGCAATGCATCAGACTAAAAAAATTGCTTGTAATGGTGAAAGAGTTGTGCAATAAGTTTAACGAGCATTGTTGTCATGAAACTTTTATTTTTGGTTTTAAATATACACAGACAAAGCGTGTTACGTTTCAGTTGTTGAATTTTATTCTTGGGCAAGCGAAAATGGCGATTTATATGAGTAGAAAAAGCAAAATAGAACAAAAAAGCAATGATGATGTTATTATTGTTTTTAAGTCTCTAATTAGAGCAAGAATTTTGATAGATTTCAGATTTTACAGAGCTATGTGTGATCTTGATACTTTTGTTTTGAAATGGTGTGTTTGTGATGTTTTGTGTAAAATTGTCGATGATGATTTAGTATTGTGTTTTTAATTTTTCTGTTGTAAGTTAATTGTGAGGTGATTTTGTAAATAAATTTTTTTTCAAAATCAAATCTCTCTCTCTCTCTCTCTCTCTCTCTCTCTCTCTCTCTCTCTCTCTCTCTCTCTCTCTCTCTCTCTCTCTCTCTCTCTCTCTCTCTCTCTCTCTCTCTCTCTCTCTCTCTCATATTGAGAGTTGCAGCGCTTAAAGCATTAACAAAATTGTGGAGAAGGCAAGTATCCTCAGTTTCAAATAATAATAATCAGCGTTAGTTTCCAAAGCACATTCTGAACAAATGAAATTACATAAATAATTATATATATATAATAATATATAAATATTATATATAAATAACAGAATATATAATAAAAAGAAATATATATTTTAGTTGATTTTTTTCATATTCCTCCCTTGATATAACCTTAATGTGCATGACATAAATATGTGTGAATTTTCATTTGGGAGATGTAAAAATAATTACGTAAAAATATTTATCTATTTATTTATTTTTTGGTGGTGGGTCTTAATGAGGAAACAGAAAATGTTGAAAAAACAAGAAATACTGGGAGAAAGAGAAATGATCCTTAATTATCCTTAAAAAAAACACATTGTATAATTAAATAAGAAATGTATTGAATAGAAAAACATAATAAAAGTATAAAAACAGATGTTTTAACCACTGACTTACAGTAGTGGCAAAAAGTGCTGTCTTTTGTTTTTAATGACCCTACAAGTGCAGTTAAACCGTCAAAATATGAGCAAAATGTACAGTATATATACATATATATATATATTAAATATGAAGGAAAAACAAACACTAAACTTGGTTAAAGCATTTATCGGAAAAAATTATTTGGCTAAAAAATGGCAAACTACAGCTTATACAACATATTCAGTTATTAATATATCATTGGTTCTCTCTTGTGTTCATAATTACTGTGTATGACAGCCTGGACAAAAATT